TCTCTCTGATTTCTGTGTCATCTCTCTGATTTCTGTGTCATCTCTCTCAGCCACATACAATTTGCCTGTGTAGTAATTGATCTACTTTTGACTGATGACTTCTGGATGTTGCCATGAGAATACATGAAATTAAAAGAGCATTGGGCTGAGTATTTTATGTTTTGCTGTGATCTTAGGCACTTCTTCATTTCTCCCTTTGTAATTTAGAATCATGATACCTAAGGATGTTGGGATACAATCATGAGTGTGAATGAGTTAAAGAGGCAATATTATAGAATACCTTTTCAATGTCTAAGATTATTTTCCATATTTCTGAAAAGGAAAGGTGGCTTTTTGTTTATTTCTATTTTTTAACCTCAGATGGATAGGATTTAGTTTATTACATGCTCCTCGATTCATGGTACGTTATCATCACTGGTCAATACAAGGCTGTCTCTTGTTTTATTTACTTATTTATTTAGCCCTCCTTTTTCCTGTTTTACTCCCCTATCATAGGCAAGCATTCTAATATGATTAATACCATATTTATATTTGAACATATCCTTCAAAATATGGCGGTTTTATATGCATGAATTCTTAATTTATGTAACTAGTTAAGTCTTCAGTATATCATTGTTTCTTATTTTTTTCATGTTTTTTGTTTTTGTTTCTTTTTAGATCCATTTATGTTGCTATGTGTACCTCTAACTCATTGCTTCTATTAGCTGCTTAATACTCTCGCATATCTGACCTATCTAATCTCCAAATGATGGGCATGTCTATCCTTGCATATGGCCTTTTATGGGCCTATATGAAAATATGGGTCATAGAGTATGTATTTTTACTTTGATTATGTAGTACTAGATTGCCCTTTCTGAATGGCCCCACCTATCTATAATGTTCTCTCCACCCCAGTTGTAGTAGATGATAAAGGTTCATATATCCCTACAACCCTGCCAACACTTGGCATTTTCTAGCCTTCCACTTTTTTGTCAGTCTTATAGCAATATCTTTTCATTTTAATGTTCATTTCTATGATTACCGATGTTTTGAGCATCTTCCTGGTTGTATGCTTGTAGGATTTTCTCTTGTATAATTTTCTGTTCTTATGTTTTGCCATTTTTTTTTCTATTTAGGGCCTCTGTCTTTTTCTTACTGAGTTGCAGGAGTCCCTTATATAGTCCAGATAATAATCTCTTGTTAGTTTTAGACATTGCACATATTTTCTCCCATTCTGTTATTAACTTTTAAATATTTCCCTTTCTCAAGATCCAAGGTATTCTGCATTTTTTTTCCTAGTTACTTTGTAGTTTTACCTTTTACATATAGATATACCTAGAGTCCACTTTTGTGTATGGTGTTTTTTAGAGATCTGGTTTTATTTTTCTCCATGTACTAATACAGTTTCCCCAACACATTTAGTAAATGCTCTTATCTTTTGTCCATCAATTTGTAGTGCCATATTTGTGCTATATTAGGCTTCCATTTATACATTAATCTGCCTTTGAGCTCTGATCCTTTTCCAATGGTGTATTTTTCTGTTCTTGCACTAGTACTACAGTTTTTTTTTCTTCTTTTTCATGGCTTTGCATATGTCTTAATTTCTAGTAGAGCAAATCTTCCCTTCTTTACTCTTTTAATCTATTATGTGATTTAGCATATTGAAATTTTCTGATTTGAACAATCTTTACTTTCTTGAGATAAATTATACTTGATCAAATGTATTTTTAAAAATATACTGTTGATTCATAACTAATTTTTATTTGGATTTTTTGCATCTACATTTCATAAGTGAAATGTGTCTAAATTTTCTTTTCTTATAGTTGTCTGTTTGGTTTTAGAATCAAGATTACACTAGCCTCATAAAACAGACTAACCATCATTATTTTTCCAATGGCTGGAATCAATTGGCTAAAGTAGTCATTAACTTTCTTCAAAGTTTGGTAGAATTCATCTATAAAATCATCTGGGCCTGAGGTTTTTTGTAGAGAAAATCTTTGACTATCATTGCTATTTTATATTTTTATTGGATTTTTTTCACTTCATATAAGCTTTTCAATTTATTAGCATATTGCTCATAATACTCTCATTTAAAATTTTTGTTACCTCTTTTGTTTCCTCTCATTTAAAATTTTGTTTCCTCTTTTTCATTCTGTATTTTAGTTGCCTTTTCCCCTTTTCTTCCTGAATACTCTTATCAAAGATCTATTTACTTTTTTAAAGAATCAAATTCTAGTTTGCACATCTTTTATGTTGTTGTTGTTGTTGTGTGTGTATGTGTGTATGGGGGGTGGATTCTCTGCTTATAAATTTCTGTTTTTTATCTTCCTTGTTTCTATGTTCTTTGCTTTTTTCATTGCATTGAATGCTTAACCAGTTTATTTTTAATCTCTCTTGTTTCATGATAAATGTACTTAAAGCTATACATTTTCTTCTTTGTTCTGCTTTAGCTGTGTGCCACAGATTTTCATTTGTTGTATTTTTATTATTTATTTTAAAATATTTCTTAATTTTATTTATGACTTCCTTTTAACCCAAGATTAACTTAATATGCTATTTTGTTTACAAATATATGCTAATTTTGACTATTATTTTGTTATTAATTTCTGATGTCATTGTATTATGGTTGGAGAAGGTATACTGTGTAATATTGAGTCTTTGGAATTTATTGAGGCTTCCTTAAAAGCCATTATCATGGTATCTTTTTGGAAGTGTTCTCTTTGTGTTACCAAACTCAGGTTTGGCTGCTTGACACTCATAAGCCAATAAGTGAGAAACGAAGATTTTGAGGGAAGGAAAGCAGGTTTATTTAAGAGTGGGCACCCTGAGAAGATGACCAACTATTGTCACAAAGGCCATTTTGCCACTTTAGTGTAGGCAAGGGTTATAGGGAGAGGGTTGAGAAAGGGATAGGGAGAAATTCTAAAGCTGCAGGGAGAAGGTTGAGTAAGGGATAAAGGAGAAATTCCAGGATTGGAGGGGAGGAGGTAGCCTGAGGCCACTTATCTTTCCTTTCAGCCTTGGCTTATTTCTCATGTTGAAGTCTCAAGCTCAGAGTCAAAATAGGGAGAGGAGTAAGGAGGAGGGTAAGGATTTCTTTTATGGTGCAAGTCAGCAGAACGAACTGTCCTTCGCAGCCTGTTCTGATAAACATCCTGGAGCTGTTATGGCAGAGCATAGGTCTGGTTTCCTTCATCTAAGAGAGGATTTTGCAGTCAATCTTCTGTCACGAAATGGTCGAGGAACCAAGCTAGCTCCCTTTGAAGTCTGTTCCTAGACTTCTCAATCAAGCAAGCTATTTATCTACAAGTTACACATTAGTTAACAAGACATTTTTATATACATAAAATATGAGAGTGAGATTGTAAGGACAAAAAGGAAAAAGAAAAAAAATGGTTACAACCATAAGACTACAATAAAACCATGACAATCACAGTTACAATCCCCACTGTCATTTTCTCATTTCTATTTTTATGGAAGTTTTGTTAATCTACCTATAATGGACTCGTGGGACAATAATTTATCATGGAATGCTTGAACTTGAAATAAGACCTGGTGTTAGAGGACAAGTTCTAAAGTGCATTTGCTTTCTAGTTTTCAAGGCCTGTCTACATAGTTTAGTTATGCTTATTATGATTACTTTGAATATTACATGAGACTTAACACTAATACAGTTAAACCTAACTTTACAATTTCTCGTAGGACAGGCTTTATTCCCGATGGTATTCAAGAAAATAAATCAGAAAACTACGGGAGTAGGCATACAAAGGTGGAAGGGTAAGGGCAGAAAAAGCAAGTGAGTTATAATACTAATGCATTAGGTAAAGCCTGCATGAATCAGAGAACAAAAGCTATATCAAAGAAATGAAGCCCGTGTGTGGTTAGTGTGCAGTTACAATTTCCGTTACATTTGTTGTCTTGAATGATTATATGTTCTCTTTCTGTTGGATATAGAGTTCTACTTTGTTCTAATAGCTTGCACTTTTTAGTTGTACTGTGCAAGGGTTCTGTATTTCTACTTGTTTTTGTTTTTTGTTTTTGTATACTTGATCTATCAATTCCTAACTAGAGTGTTAAAATATTCAAGTGTTCTTTTTCTCTCTGCGGTTCTGCTACAGGCAAGTACATCAACAAGGTATATTTTGAAACTCTATTGTAATATGCATATATGTTTATGATGAATATATCTTCTTGTCATATTGTTCTTTGTCACTTAATTTTATTTTGTCAGATATTGAGAATGCCACACCAGCTTTGTTTTGGTTCATATTTGCCTAAAATATCTTTTCTATCCTTTATTTCCAACTTGTTTACATCTATTTATTTTAAAATGTATCTCTTCTAGACAGTACTGTTGGGTCTTTTGTTTTAATCTAGTCTGTAAATCTGTCTTTTAATTGGTAAGTTTAGTTCATGTGTAATTGTTGTAATTACTCTTATATCAGGACGTATTTCTGGCATTTCATTTTATACTTTCTATTTATGGTACTCTCTTTTTTGTTGTTGCTTTTCTTTTACTTTTTTCCTTTTCTGCTTTCCATTGGATAGGTCACGTTTTCCCCTGCTTTATAGAAAGTTATATTTAAAGTTTCTTGCCCTTCAACTGAAGATCTAACCTCATGTTATTTACCCCTATTGATTTTTATGCATATTACAACTGCAACTTCCCTCCAACAAGTACTTCAGCAGGCTCTTATTTCTCATTTATCTTCCACCCACACCTACCCCATCATGATAACATCATTTAGAATTTTAATCCTTTCTGGAATCCATGTTTCTTTCTCATTTTTATAGTTTCTCCAGGGCTGATTCAGGAAAAGGAAACATAGATCATTACTAGTTTGCTACTGTGGCAGGAACTAGAAAGCTTCAAAGAAGTTTGTAATAGATTAACAGCATTTATCTTGTTTTGAATTATCTCAGTTTAATCGCAGTTGGTGAGTTGATGACTTCATCAATATTTTTCCCCCAAATAACAGGTAGAAAATGTGAAATTACTGGATCGTTATATGGATAAGAAACCACCGAATGGGATTTTATATCTTACTGTAACTCACCTGATCTATGTGGAGGCTTCTGGTGCATCCCGGAAAGAAACATGGGTATGTTCATGAGAAGAAATTTCAAAGGGTCTTGAAGAGTTGCATATGGTAGTTTCTTGAAATTTCAAGTAGTTTAATTGCTTAAAAGCTTTCCTTCAAAGAAGCTATTCTAGGGGCGTTTTCATAGATTGAATTGTATGACTCCTCATCCCTCAAGTTATTAACTGTAGTCATCTTAGTCATTGTAAACTACATGGGACTTTTCCTCAATATTTTTAGGTAGAGTAGTCTCTGCTCATTTTCTGAGCCTAATTGACAAGCATCCTGAAGTAATTTAAAGCCTTGCTACCCATAAATGTGGTCCAGTAACCAGCAGTATTCATATCACCCAGGAGCTTATTAAAAATACAGACTCTCAGGCCTAAGATTTTAAATTTCTAAAAAGCTCTCGGGTGATGCTGATAGCTCTTTGACTACATCTTGGGTGTCAATGATTTAGACCATCTCTCTGACCTAAGACAGGGTGCATGTTGTGTGTTTCTTGTTATACCTTTTAACAATGTTTTCTAATTAGCATATCACCTCTAACATTACTTTATGCCCTCCCTATCCTAAAGTAGCATCATTTAATCTTAACTTAATCAGCCAGATTTATGCTGAGACCTCTCTATAAGAAGTACAACATGTTTCTGGTATATAGCATAGCATAGTGATTAAAATTGTAGGCTCTAGAGCCAGTCTGCTCAGGGTATAATCTCAGCTTCAGCATTTACTACCATTGTAACATCAGGCAAGTTATTTAAACTTCTCTGTATCTCACTTTTCTCATCTGTAAAATAGGGATAGTAATAAGAACCTTGTTATGAGATAAAAATGTTAATGTTGTAAGTGCTTAGTAGTGCCTGGCACATGGTAAATACTATTGTATAAGTATAAAATAAATTAAACTGAATATACATATGAAATAAGTACAGTTGACCCTTGAACAATGTGAGGGTTAGGGGTGCTGACCTCTGTGCAATTGAAAATCTGCATATAACTTTTGACTTTTAAAAAATTTAACTGCAGTCATCCCTTGGTATCTGTGAGGGATTAGTTCCAGAACCCCCTAACGGATACCAAAATCTATCGATGCTCAAGTCTGTTATAGAAAATGGCATGCAACAATACATATAGTGTCTGTGGATTCCCAACCATGGATTGAAAATACTGTTTTTGGTCCTCGGTTGGTTGAATCTGTGGATGTGAAGCCCACAGATACAGAGGGCTAACTGTATATTTATTTTGAAAAAATCCACATATAAGTGGACTTGCAAAGTTCAAACCCATTGTTCAAGGTTCAGCTGAATTTTAATACTTTCTTTTGAAAACACCATGAGCTCTCCCCATACAAGATTTTATTTTGTTCCCTTTGGTGTGATGAAAAGAATGCCAAAAGAGGATTCAGGAGAGCTGGTTCTCGTTAGACTCAGCTATGCACTAACTAGCTACATGACCTCAGGTAAATGACTCTTGTTCTCTGGGCTTCAGTTTCCTCATCTGTAAAATAAGGTGGTTTGATTACATAATTAGTACTGACCCTTCCATTTCTAAAAGTTTAGGAATCATTTCTTTAGTACTGTGACATGAGCCTTTCTCCTTTCTACCTGCATTTATAGGAAGCTCACTTTTCCCTAGATATATTCTTATTGGGTATTATTTCAAACCCAGGGGACTAGATCTGGAAGGGAGAACTTATGTGAATTATTTCTACAGATCAAAGGAGGATTATTTACTCAGTACTGTTAATGAAGTTCTTCTCAGCCTTCATCTGCTTCACTTTTCTCCTCTTCCCAGTTCACTTCTACTTCTCAGAACTTTGGTTTCTTCCTGAAATGGGATGATTATATCTCAAAAGGTTATTACAGGGATTTAATAATTAATAGTCATGGATTACCTTGTAAGGAATCGAGCACAATGCCAGTTATTAGTCATTTTAATTAGTAATTTGGTAGAACAAAAGGAAATTCTTTTTTTCGCTGTGACAATTATTCTATTATGATTGTAAGCTCCACCATAGCATACTAGAAATCATCTATATTAAGCCAGTTTATTTCAATTACCTCACAAGACTGATAACCTTATATTCTTAAGGAGAGAGTTTTATAACACTGCAATTTGCTTCTCATTGCTTTACCACTGTTTACTTCTGTTTGAGAAAAACCCAGTTGTGCCTTATGAAGGATGATTGAAGGCTGTAGATGTGATCATAGCTCTAGCAGTGCTGTTACCGTTACTGAGAGTAAGGCACACTGGTAATATAACTAGTGCATGTCTGTGAAAATTTATTTATTTATTTTTTTCTGTTTTGTAGATTGCATTGCATCACATTGCCACTGTGGAGAAGTTACCCATCACTAGCCTGGGCTGTCCTCTGATTCTCCATTGTAAGAACTTCCGGGTAGCCCATTTTGTTTTAGACTCTGACGTTGTATGCCATGAGGTTTATATTTCGCTGCTCAAGCTTTCTCAGCCAGGTAGTTATGACAGTATTTTTGTCTGAAACCATTCATTTTATTCCCCAGAATTACATACTGGAAAGATCATGGGCTATGAAGTTAAACAGGGCAGAGTTTGGATCTGGGCTCCACCACTTACCAGCTCCATGGTATTTGGACAAGTTATATAATCTCTGAACTCAACTTCCTCATCTGTAAAAGTAGTGATAGTATAGCTCCCCACAGGGTTGTTTTGAGGGTTAAATGTATTTCTGTATTTTACTCTGTACATGCTATATAGTAGATGTTTAATAGATGTTATTTCCTTCTCTCATTCCCTCCTTTTAAGTGTCAACTTGTGAATTTCTTTTCATCAGTTCAGGAAGGAAGTCTGCTTTGGAGCAAAATTTGTTTCCTCTTGTCCTGGACACTTTATTTTTGGTCCACTATTCCCACCCCTACTTTTAGTTCCAGCTAGAAGACTAAGGCAGTCCTTTTTAGTTTTTTAATTTTTCAATTACAGTTAATATTTGATATTGTTTCATATTAGTTTCAGGTGTACAACATAGTAGTTAGACATTTATATAATTTATGAAGTGATTCTCCCCAATTAGTCTAGTACCTACCTGGCACTATGCATATTTATTACAATATTATTGATTATGAAATACAAATTGGTAGTATCAAGAGTCCTTAATTATGCAGTTATATCTCCTTTCTTCAGCCTCACTTTCATCCCCCAGCCCCATCCCTAGACGGCTAACCCATCAGCTTCCTCTGATTTTAGTCTGTAGAATTTCTGTGTTCCTACATTTTCCCTCCCATTTTCTTCCACCTATTCCCTAGAATAATTCCTTAGAATTTGCTGGTATTTTATTGGCAGAGGTTACATGTCAACCAGCCCAACACTGTGTAAGGCTCTGGCAGATTCCATTCCTCTCTGGAGAATTCGTTGCCACATAAATTGGTCAAATGAGTTATCAATTACATGCTGCATATTATGAAGGGGGGAAATGGGGTTGACCAGAAGAAGAGAAGACCTGGCCATTTATCAGCCAGAAGTAGGTATTGGCCTGATAAATAGAGTGCAAGAACAGTGTTAATATTTTGTAACATGTTACCACAAACAGTACACTTAGGACATTGAAGCTCAGTTGAAAAACAGTTTATAAGGACCACTTTCCCAGCATGTGAAACTTTGAACTTAGTTGGGTCCATTACCCAGCAGTTCACAGGAAGCCAGACAAAATTTTCCTGCTTTGTATTGATATCACAAAATATTAAAACATTTTAAAAAGAGGACTCTGAAACAATATCCAGTTCTCATTCCTGATATAAAGGCAACCTTGTACACAGATCATTGTCCTTTTCTGGGGCTGCTTGACAAATATTCCTTTCAGGAGAAAGGAAATCTAGCCTTTTTTTTTACATTATTTGATGTTAAGTTATAGTCATTATTACTTTGTTTTCATGCCTGTCTCTATTCTCCAGCATTACCTGAAGATCTATATGCTTTTTCTTATAATCCCAAGTCCTCAAAAGAGATGAGGGAAAATGGATGGAAGTTGATTGACCCAATGTCAGACTTTAGGCGTATGGGAATACCCAACAGGTACTGGACCATAACAGATGCCAACAGAAACTATGAGGTAATTTTGTCCTTGTTGTTTTCCTTTAGGTCCATTTAAACATTAAAACACATGAATATCATCAAATAACATTTTGAAAAAAGAAAACAAAATCATAATCTCTCCTTTTCATTTGACATTCAGCCATGCAATAAGCATTTATTAAGTACCTGCAGTACTCAGTACACTGAGTCAGAGTTCTCATAGTCTAAAACACAGAGCACTGTTGGTGCATAGATGAAGGGTATGAAACTCAGACTGGGAAATCAGAAACAGCCTGATACTTTGGGAAATAGCCTGGAAAAGGAAATCTATCTAAATTTATGCAAATAGAGAAGGAAAGAGATCAGGAAGTGAAGTCAGATCATGAAGAGTTTCATGGCCAAATTAAGGAATTTGAACATTACTCGGAAGACAGAAGTCACTAGAGTATTTTAAGCTGAAAAGGAATGTGAGTATATTTGTATTTTAGAAAGATAACTTTGTAGTGGTATGGAGAATTGGTTTGCTAGAGCTAAGAATGCAGAAGAATATGAAAAGTGATGAGAACCTGAACTAAGACAATGACTATGGATGGAGAGGAAGAGATGGTTTTAAGAGATATTTAAGTGGTACAATTGAAAGAATCTTGACAAAATAATGTGGCTGGAGAAAGGGAGAATTTTAGTATGCATCCCAGGTTTCCTGGTTTTTGGCTTAGGTGAACAAGTAGGTAATGGATATGTGAACCAAGATAAGGAGCACAAGAAGAGGGCAGTGTTTTCAGTTTTAGATTTGAGTTCAAGTTTATTCAAAATATATCAAGTATTTAAAAACAAGTGTTTGAGTCAGGATGTCAAGGAAGAACTCTAGGCTAAATATTGAGGTCTGGGAATGTGTCTGTGTGTGTGGGGGGGCGGTTGTTCCAAAAAACATTCCTTAGGTTTAGTGATTCACTAGGAGGTCTCATGGGATAGCATATAGTCATACTTGTGGCTGTGATTTATTACAGAGAAAAGATACAAAGCAAAATCAACAAAAGGAAAAGGGGCAAAGTCTAGAGAAAACAAGGTATAAGCTTCAGAGTCCTTTCCCAGTGGAGTCACATAGAACGTGCTTAATTCCTCTAGCAACATATTATGATAACATATAGAAAATGTTGTTTATAGGGAAGCTTGGGATTTTTATTGGGGGCTAGTCATGTAGGCACTCTCTGCCTAGTGTTTACCAAAGTTTCAGATGCACAGAAGGAAAACAAGTGTTTGGCACTTGGGATGCTTGTAGCCTTCTGAGTTGATAGAGAAGTTCCATTTATTTGTCTTTGTATTACCTACTTCTACAAAGTCTAAGTCGAGGTAAGGGGATGAGTAGAGAACTCTTTCTCTTTCAATTGTTCTGCATTATGAGGATATTGACTTTAATGAGTTACATAGAGTATTTAATCTGATCCATCTTGAATTTTTTGCCTATTCATATTTTTTATTTGTTTGATCCATTGTCAACACTCAAATATTTAAGGGTGTTCTGTAGTTAAATGAATGATTAGAATTAATTTGGCAATGTCAGGTCCATGCTGTTTTAATATTTTGTCACCGTATCTTTAAAAAGAAATATTTTGGTAATCAACCACTAAAAGCTGATAAATTTGAGAAAATGTATCAGTTTTTTTTTTTTTATGGTGACATTGGTTAACGAAATCCAATAAGTTTCAGTTGTACACTTTAACAGTAAGGCATATATATGTTTACACTGTGTGTTCATCTCCCATAGTTAGATTTCTTTCTGTCACCACATATTTGACCCCCTTTATAGAGTAAGTCACACCTAAAATGTCAGTACTTTCACCCCCAGACTAGTGTTTTAAAGGCCTTCAAGATGTGTATACTGGGAATGTAGTATGCATTTTAAGGAGTAAATCATGTTTTCTTCTTTTCCACCTGTCTGCCTTATATTTCAGTATTTGTTTTAGTTTAGTTATTTACAATATATATTATTTGCTCTGATAGGCAAATGTAGGAATTTCAAGGTAGGGTTATTTGTGTGTTTCTATCTGTAATATGCATTTCTACCTATAATGTTAGTACATTTTGTTCTTCTATGTCTTGATAACTTCCTTTCTAGAAAATATTGGCATACTTGGAAAAGCTGTTACACCAAGGATATTTTTGTTCCTATTTCTGAGGAATGGATGCTTCTAAGAGGTTAAATACTGGGCAGCTAATGCTTGAGTGATTGCTATTCCAATCTATTGGTAGCAAGTGGAAAATGTAAAAAAATATATAGCTTAAAAAGTTGAATTTTTTTTAGATATGCAGTACTTACCCTCCTGCAGTAGTGGTTCCTAAATCCGTTACCTTGGGAATGGTGGTTGGAAGTTCGAAGTTCAGAAGTAAAGAACGAATGCCTGTGCTCTCCTACCTCTACAAAGAGAACAATGTGAGTTGAGCAAACTTCTCTCATGACAATTAAACTTGTCTCTAGAAGACCTGGGATTAAGTCCCATCACTGCCACTTACTAACTATGTGATATCAAGCAAGTTACTTCTCTGAATTTTAATACTTCTGAGGGTTTTTAAGCAGGTCACATGAGGGAAAGTACATGTGTACTTCATAGATTGTAAAATGTTGTACAGATATTAAATGACATTTTTTGTGTGTTCATTTGTTTCTTTCCTTTTCTGAGGGCTCCAGCTTGATGATAAGTTGTTGAATGAAAGGGAGCCGATTGTATGAAAGGAAATTTGCAGGCTGTGCTGTCTCACTAGAACGTAGATGTCCTCGATTCTTTTTCACTACTTTTAATATAATTTAAGGTAGTAGGAAAAAGCACTTGACTCCTCCATTTGAGTCCCCTTCCATAGGAAGGGATAATAGTTCTTGCCTTTTGTGGTCATTCTGAGATCTGGAGTTAGAAAAATAATCATGATCAAAATAGGTAACTAGTCAGGTGCTAAAGAGTATAGTGATACAAGTGGGTGTCTTTGTGTCAAACTATCAAGGTGAGCAGATTCATTAAAAACTACACTGAACTGCAATGCAGTCCATTAACTAATCATTACCAGACATGCCTGCTAAATAGCTGTGTTGTTTTTATATCGAAATGGTTCAAAACAAACTAGTCTCTCAGATTTGACATTAATAAGTGAACCCTTCTCTCTTTAGACACTCTAAATCTCTGCTGTATCTTGAATTCTGCTGCCACTGCAAGCCTCTGGTTTATATGGGTGATATTACTGGGACCATGAAAAGCAGAGAAGTTTCAGAAAAATACTAGCTTAATAAATATTGAGAATAGAATTTTATTAAAGAACTACTTACTCAAGATGTGATTTTCTTATAGTCTGGATTTGCCAAGACTGGGTTAAGAATCTTAGCCTTGTAGAAGGGAAAAAAAAGACTATTCTGAGCAGCAGTTTGTGGTAATAAAGCCCACATGCCTGGGAGAGGCTGGAAGCTGAGCCCAGTGTCAGTGGAGTAGCTAGGCTTCAGAGATACATCTCTCTTTGCTTCACTACTCTGAGTTGGCTCATCTTTCTCTGCTCACCCAACCTGGGATCAAAGAGGATTTTGACCATCTGTGCATGTGATTACTCAATTGTCACATTTTTCCTTACAGGCTGCTATTTGCCGCTGTAGTCAGCCTCTATCTGGATTTTACACTCGCTGCGTAGATGATGAGCTCTTGCTAGAGGCCATTAGCCAAACGAACCCAGGGAGCCAGTTTATGTATGTTGTAGACACAAGACCAAAGGTATCTATCAGTGACTTCTTTGATATTCCTACTTCACTTATTTTGTAATCCCCATTCCTACCTGTTGAGCTTTGCAGTGTTATTGGGAAAGTTAGGTTTGTGTATATGGGCTTATTGTGTCAGACATTGTGTAAAATAATTTGAGCAAGCCTTTTGGAGCTCCTTTTATTGTAGCCTGTCGCTGTCAAGCAAGACTGTGAGATACTCTTGATTCTTTCAAAGTTACTTTGAATAACTTGGCTTTTCCACCTCCTGAATTTGTGACATCTGAATTGAATGCCTGGAGATTCTTTGATGTTCCCTCATCTTTTTCGCTAAATCTGTTCATCAATCAGAATTTTCAGTATTCCTCTTCTATGGTGTAAATTTATTATCAGAGAAAGCACTTAGACTTAATACTGGAAACTTATCAGTACCAACATATCTTTTTGTAAATAATATATGAAACTGCAGTGGGTTAGTGATACTTTGATGTTTCCTGAAGGAACCAGGTTCACAAATTAACAAATATTAACAAAAATTCTTTAGCTTATGTGGAAATATTTTTTTTTAGCACCCAGCACTATTTGCTGATTAAGTTTTTCCAAGTTCAATGAAGTGAAGTTTAAATCTTGGTCCCAGAGAAAAAGAAAAGCAGAAACATAAGTTTGCAATGGATTTTGGCAGTGGACATGGTCATAGTGAAATTTCTTGATCTTTCCAAGAGTCAGATACTGCATGATCTGTCCCTTTCAAACGTGAATGTCATAGAAAGGAGGGTCCTCAGATCAACTTAAGTATCAACCTAAACTCTCTGTATTAATTCCTTGACCTTCAATATATTGTCTATCTTTGTTAGGGATTGTTGAAGAATTAATAGTGCCCTATGAGGCAAGTAAAGGACAGATTCCCTTTTCTTAAAGACTGCCCTTTTTACAATCAGCCCCAGAAAGAAATAAGTTTGCTTGTAATTCGACGTGGGAAGCATGGCTGACTAGGAGGTTTCATTGCTAACTAGTGATTACTAAATTAGTGATTTAGATCTAAGCCTAAGCCAGGTAGTTGTGACATCAGAGGTGAGCAGTTGGCTGCACATGAAACCAGATAGTGGCCTTCGACAGCTCTCTGCCCCATTTTGGGGATCTCTCACTGGTCATTCTCCAGATCTACCTAAGACTAACTGGGCTCAAGAGGGAAAATAATTTCCCTTTCTGCTCAGGCATTATCTTTCAGTTTCTCAAAAGTTTGCTGTCTTGCTTCAACTATAACTACATCTGCCATTCACGATTGGAAAGAGTTTAATCAAATCTGTATCTTTTATCAAGATTAAATAATCTTAACATGGTAAAGAGAAACATACCAAGCTTTTGAAAAGCTAAGGTACTGATGCCTTTTGTCCAAACCTAGGACTAAAAGGCCCCTTTTAATGGGTCCCTTTTTCCTCTCTCAGAAGGCTTAGAAATATCTAGCACCCCCTGCCCCCCACCACCTCTTCTGAATGGCTAGACTTGTACTTTTAGTAGAAACTGTATTGTAGTGACAAAATTGCATTTTTAAGGAGTCAGATAAATCTGGGGCCAGCTGTTGCCTTCAGCCCTTATCCATGATTCTGGTTGAAACTGGTTCACCTCTCTGACACTGTTTTCTTATGAGAATAATAATAATACTTATCTTTAGAGACTGTAGTGAGGGTTCAATGAGATAATGTAAAGGATCTAGTACAGTGTCTGGCACTTACTAGGAGCTCCATAAATATTATCTCTTTCCTACTTGAATATTAGGCTGCTGATATGTAGCTATTCTTTAACTCTTCCAGACATATTCCCAAAGAGTTTGTAGTGGTACAAATGTTGTTAGCTGTCTGTAGTAGCTGGCCTTTCTAGTGCTACCCAGATCTGGATAGGGACTGCTGTAATTATTGTTTTGTCTGCTGAAGCATCCATCAATCATAGCAAACTTCCTTTCTGCTATCTGGCTGTTGCTTGTACCTCCATAGATGTTCCTTTGACATTTGTCATTAATTTAATGAAATCTCAGTGATATTCTCTGTGTGATAAATAGGTTACCATCATGTTTCTCCCTTTCACACGTATCTTGCATTCTAAACAGAATATTTTGACACAGACTTTTTTCCCTGAATGTGTTAACATGAAGAGTTTGTGCTTTTGAGGTTTTAATGGCATTCTTTTCTATTAATACAAAAACTATGCCCTGTCCATATACATGCTCCTCCTGCCTTCTGAAATACACAATACTGGGAGATGAGAAAATAGGCCCAGACAACAGAAAAATATTTAATTAGTAAGATGGGTATTATCATAGAAGGTATTTTGGCTGTTTCCTAGTTATTATATTACTATCTTCTTTCTGCAAGTCTCATTTATTCCCTACCCTGCCCAGAATTATTCTTATGACCTAGAAATATTCTGATTACAAGCTTAACATAGTGTTAAAACAGGTCTTGGTATTTCCATTTCAATTTTATCAGTGAGTGAAAATCAATCATTTTCTCATGCATATTTTAGACATTTTCTAGAATAGCTTTTAAAAATTAATTGGCCTTGAAGTTCTTAGACTTTTTTCTGGAGCTTCTCAGCTGTAAAGATTTTTGAACTTTTACATGTTTCACAGCATAAAGACTTTAAATCTGAGAAAACATTTGTTAGTGATAGGAAGCTCAAAATTATTATTATTTCAGTTCTTCAGATCACATATCCTCATAGCTGCCATATCCTTCATTTTCTTAAGCAGGGTTATAGCAATAAAACCAAAGCACTAAATCTCTCTTTCTTTCCTTATACTACTGTTACTTAAGATGCCTGATCTAAAAACCAGTGAAATTCTCTCCATCCCAGAATGTACCCCATCTGATTTAACTTCTTTGTAAAAGGGTAAGATTTAAAACTGTTTAGAATAAGGCATTGAGATTGATAAACCCTGTTATTTCATCATCTGCCCAATCTGCTCTATTATGTCCTCAACGATTGCAGTTGAATGCCATGGCCAACAGAGCAGCTGGGAAGGGGTATGAAAACGAAGACAACTATGCCAACATTCGCTTCAGGTTCATGGGCATTGAGAATATCCATGTGATGCGGAGCAGCCTGCAGAAACTCTTGGAAGGTATAGGGATTTTACCTTGGCTAGGCCAGAGGCCGTAGCTTTGCCTTATTATATATGCAAAAAGCATGCCTTATTTGGGATGAAACATAAAAGCAACCAGGTGAACAGAGTCAATAGGTGATAAGGTTTTTGACTATAATATGAATCCAACTTACATAGTACTGAATTATAGCAGTGTTGGTCTGGCAGTGGAACTAATGTGCAGTTTCATAACTGAGTGGAATCCATCTGGGTTTAGTTTATGGGGAAATAATTTCTATAGAGTTACAGAGGGTGGTGTTCAAGGGTAGGTAGGTCAACATAAGTATAAATAAATTTGGGATTCATTGTATCACCCGCAAGGTAAGAAATCATCTCACTTAATCTACTGTAAGGAGTCTGATTTCATTACTGTGCTGATAAAGGAGGTGAGTTCAGACTTCAAAAGAATGAAGCTGACATCAGACAATTGGGGTCATCTGTCATCACTGTAAAATAATTGGCATCAGTGTGGGGGCAAGGTGAGACTGGGGCCTTATAAGAAGGGCTCATGAGTCTAGAACATTTTTCCCAAAGTTACCACCCAGGATTCTATGATATGGTATGTCAACTCAGGAAGAGAGAGTAAAAACCTGCTTTCTTTAGTGAACTCCCTGTTTTTCTCTCTCTCCTTCAATTTTGTACTTATGTTGCAGGCCAGGACCTTTCCCTTACACGACCTTATATAAGGTCATGTTTCTTCAGTCTTCATCTTTTATAGGATATTAGTGCTCTTCTTCCTTAGGTTTCTTCCTCCTTTCTTTTTTGTCCCAGAATGTTTTACAGGAGTATGGAACAGGACTTTTCACAGAATTTTGAGGCAAATGATTGCCCTCTGCTGGATAACCAATGAAAAGTCCATGAAACTTAACTGCCATATATATAGTTTTCAATCTGTTGAGACTGCACAGGGCTGCAGGGGGTAGATGTGGATATGGGAGTACGGACAGATGTTAAGGGCCTGCAGAGATAGGAAGAATGGGTAGAATTAGGATCAGATGTGTTTTATAATCAGAGGAGATGTGTTTTCCTGTGGATGCTGACTCAGTCTTCTGGCCCTTTTCAGAGATTTCTGTGGGCTTGGGGGTGGGTTCTTCAACTCAAGAAAGCAGAGACCTGAACTGGAAGATATGGTAGGCTCTAGCCCATCCCTGAGTCACTGTGTGGTTTCCAACTAATCATTTAACCGCTCTGTACCTCAGCTTTCTCATTTACAAATTTAGAGCCCACTTAGTCCCCTTTCTTGCTGAGTAAACTGAGGTGGTTGTGAATTTCAATCTCTGCTTCCTTTTCTACCCTAGTTTGTGAATTGAAAACTCCAACAATGAGTGAATTTCTTAGCGGCCTGGAGAGCTCAGGGTGGTTGAAACACATTAAAGCTATTATGGATGCTGGAATTTTCATTGCAAAGGTAATAATCAGGACTTTTAAGAACTTGCACTGACTTTAATTATGGGATCTCTTGAGGTAGCAGTGTATCCTGGTGGGAAGAATATTGAAAAGAAGCCTAGTTTCTAAATTCAGCTCTGCTACTAATTTACTGTGTACCTTGGCAAATCTCATCCCTTCTCTGGGCCTCAGTTTCTTCATCTGTAAAACAAGGTAGTTGGACTAGAGTGTAATGTTATAATTTTGGGAGGCCCACAGAATCCTTTGGAAATATGATTTTCCCCCTGGAAAAATGTACATATGGCTATGTGTGCAGAAAATGGATCTTCATACCCCAAATTAAAACCTCTTAGATGATCTCTAATGGTCAAATACTCTGTTGTATTTTTGTGTTGATTCTAAGGTATCAAGCGGAAGTATGAGTGGGTGTAAAATAAATGCAGAGCTTGTGTATCTATGGGTATTCAGAGCTCTGAGTATTAAACAGACATTTTTAACTTCTTTCTGTAGGTCTGCCTCTCAATGCAGTTCAGGCAGGCTTCATCACTCAGTCATGGTGACTCACTTATTTTCTGACCTCCAGAACCTTGGCCTCTGTATCATTTGTTAGGTGATGAAAAAGAAGAAGAAATTAAGAGTATACATTTTGTTGTTTTGAAGTTTTGTTTATATATATATTCCTACATGACAGCTCTCCCTCTTCATCTCACCCCTGTTATTTTATAGAAGTAAAGAAAAGGAGAGAATGACTTTTTACCCATCTGCTGTCATTTTCTACCTTAAAGATCCATCCGTAATGCTTTTTCGTTTTCCTAGTTTTGTTGCCTACATTTTTTTAGTTATATGTTATTAATGTTACTATGTGACCCCTTTAGTTGTTTCAAGCCCACTGTTCTAACCATTCTTCATATTGTTCCTTTTTCACATGTCTTATATCCATACATCTATATTCCCTTCTCTGAAGCTGACTTCATTAGACAAAGAGAGTGAGGATTGAGAAGAGGGATCAATTTAATAGACAGTGCAATCTTATAAATATTGTTGATTTAAAATGAATGGATGAAAAAGATAGACTTGGGATTTCACAATTATCCTTTGCTCCCCATTTCATTTCCACCACCACCTTACCCCAAGCTTGAAAACTCAGTCAGCCTTGAATTCTCTCTTTTCCTCCAGCTGGCAGTTGCCTACTCCTATCAGCTGTACCTCAGAAGTCATTCTTTTCTTTTTTTTTAACAATTATTTATTTTTCTTTTTTTCTTTGCTTTTTATTTTTTTATTTCATTTAATTTTTTTTTCAATTCGAGTTGACAGAAATGTTTCTCATCTATCATTTCTTCCTAGTCTCTACTGCTACTTCCCTAGTTAAGACATTTATCATCCCTTGCTTAAAGTACTATAATAACTTCCTAACTTGTTCACTTTTTACTAATTTGCATTTTTCTTAGTTACTCCTCAGTTTGACCACTAAATCGCTTCTAAAGTCATCTTTCTTTAGTACATCTGATAATATCACTTTAAGCTCAGATCCTCCAATGGCTCCCCATTGCCTATAAAATCCTGGCAAAAGTGAACTTCTTATTTTCAAAAACACTATAATACCCCTCCCTCTCTCTTTCTCTCTCATCATCTTATTTATTTTTCCTCATGACAAAGGTTGTATCTGTACATTATCAAAGAAGTAAACATTTCAGAAATATATAACATCAAATGTAAATGTTCCCTTTAGTTTGCCCCACAACATATACATCATTGTTAATAGTTTAAGGTGTATGCCTCTAGATCAGCACTATTTGAACTTTCTGTGATAGAAATGTTCTAGATCTATACTAATACAATAACTACTAGGCACATTTGGCAATTGTACATTTGAAATGTAGCTAGAGAGACATAAACTGAATTTTAAATTTTATTTAATCTTGGTGAACTTGAATTTAAATTGCCACTTTTAGCTAGTGACTACCATATTGGACAGTTCAGCTCTAGAGTTTTTCAACATATATACTTACATATTATTACTATTATTTTGTAAAAATGCTGTTTTACTGTGCATATTGTTTTGCATCTGACTTTTTATGCTTAATGTATGATGAACATTTTCCAGGTCATTTCAGTCAGCACTACTTCATTCTTTTCAATGACTGTATCATGTTCCAATTTGTGAATTTACCATAGTCCTCTCTTAATGGACAATTCAGTTATTCTCATTTTTTTGTTTGTTTGTTTTTCTTTGTTTTTTTTTTGTTTTTTTTTTTTTATAAATGCAGGCATTATTGTACCAAATACTCTTGAATATATATCTTTATATGTGTGGACATTTTTTTAGAAGTAGATTTTCTGAGTCAAAGAGTATGAATATTTCAAACTTTACTAGAAGTGGCCAAATTATCCTTCAAATAGGTCACATCAGTTTCCATTCCCATCAACAATGCCTAATTCTCTACATTGCCAGTAATGGTTATCATCAGTCTTTTTAATTTTTGCCAATAGGTGATGTATTTTATATCATGTTTTAATTTGAATTTCTTCAAACATTAGTGAAATAGAGCATCTTTTCCTATCCACCAGTGACTTTTCACTTTATTTGGACCCCTAAGGAAAATATAGTTGCTACTTTCAGGCCTCAGACACTACCTGAGATGTCTGGTTAACTGAGAAGTTAAAAAGGTTGGGAAACTTTTTTCCAGATATCTCTAACTCTTATATCACCTGCAACCTAACTATCCTTCTAGGAATATCATTTCTTTTGTACCTTCTACTATAAAGGTTACTTATTTTCCCACATCCCATGAATCACAGGGCCTATGGTAGGTATAGTATTTCCCTTACTCCTTAAAAAATTCCTTCTTCCTTTCTTGTCTATTTTACTTAGCTATACTTCTGTACCTCTCTTAGTTACTCTCTCTTCTCCATTAAGGACTTTGGGAATATCCTTACTACCTTTCTCTCCATCCTAATTCTTCCTCTCCTCCCAGGAGATTTGAATGTCCTTATACAATCTATTGACCACTTGGCACTGATAGTTCTTTGAGCTTTTATACTCCAGTTCTCACACTCTTACACCAGCTAGCCTGGTTCCTCTGTCCCATGGAGACCTATACACTTTTAACTCCTCTTTTTCCACCTTTTCCCCTATTCTTCCCTCTCTAGCCAAGACCTAGTAGTATAACACTTCATCTGTTCCAACTTGCCCCATATCCTTCCACTTTACCTGCCCTGCTAATCCAAGTCGTTCTCTACGTTCTCTGCTCTTACACCTTGACTACTAAACATCGCTACAAAGAAATAAAGCCCATAGTTATGTTAATTGGTATTATATAGGTTTATGTTCCATCATCTTAGCTGTAGTCCTGTAGTCTTAGGGCCACTTAGCAGTCACTTTGTGTCCCTGGTTGGGTACCAATTCTGTTCCACCAAGCAGCTATTCCTAATTTGTACCTGCTTTCAAGCTGGATACACCACTATTACTCCTGTCTCTATAAGTACATATTCGAAAATGCTTCCTTCTTCATGGAAAAATTAAGGTCATCTCTCATCTTCCACTAACTGTCATGACCAGCTTTTTCTTTTTTTAAAATTTTTCCCGGCTTTATTGAAATATAATAGACAATTAGTTGCTCATATTTACATTGTACAATTCAATGAGGTTTTTTTTCAATTATAGGTGGTATACAATAATATACCAGTTGTACCTCTTAATCCCTTTGCCTTTTTTTCCCACCCTGCAACCTGCTTCCCATCTACCAGCCCTCAAAGTATTCTCTGTAACTATGAGTCTATTACTGCTTTTTTCGTTGTTATTTGTTCCATAGATTCCACATGTACATGAAATCATGTGATACTTGTCCCTCTCTATCCTTCCCATTTCATTCAGTGCAATGCCCTCTAGGTCCATCAAGACAATATCTTTCACCATCCCCTTCCTTTTAGTCTGTGTGTATCTTTTAATCTGAAGCGAGTCTCTTGTAGACAGCATATGTAGGGGTCATGTTTTCTTATTCATTTAGCCACTCTATCTTTTGGTTGGAGCACTTAATTATTTTCCATTTGAGGTACTTGTTGATAGGAATGTTGTTATTACCATTTTTTATTCCTGTTTTTGACG